GCACGAATTACTAATTCGTGGGAACGAATTAGTAATTCGTTCGCACGAATTAGTAATTCGTGGGAACGAATTACTAATTCGTTCCCACGAATTACTAATTCGTGGGAACGAATTAGCAAACTCTAGTAATTCGTTCGCACGAATTACCAATTCGTTCGCACGAATAACTCCAGTAATTCGTTCGCACGAATTACTAATTCGTTCCCACGAATTAGTAATTCGTGCGAACGAATTAGTAATTCGTGCAAACGAAATAGTAATTCGTGCTAACGAAATAGCAATTCGTGCGAACGAATTACTAATTCGTGCGAACGAATTAGGAATTCGTGCGAACGAATTAGCAATTCGTTCGAACGAATTAGTAATTCGTGCGAACGAATTAGGAAATTCCCCCCAAAAAATTCACCCTGTCCCTTCTCGGGCTTCATACTTATTCATTTATTCACGTAATATAAATCAAGCAATATAAACCAATCATCTATAACGGTGGTTTGCGGTTACCAGCAACAGCACCCGCGCCATGACGCACGTGCTGTCTGGCGCCAGACGACGGCTGATTTACATTAGTAATTCTGCATTTTCATTGGTCAATTCACAACGGGTAATGCATTATGCATGTCTACCAAATCGGTAGACAAATGTAAAGAAAAACAAAAGCGTTTTCAGCGAGATGGTAAAGGCCCTCGCGGCTTCGCCGCTCGTGCAATTTATTTTACGTGTCAGCATTTGGGGTGCGTCACGTGTCCGGCGCGTGGGACTTGACTAAAGGCTATGCTTCACCGTTGATTATTTGTCATCTACGATGTCGGTGAAGGCTACTTTCAATTAAGGGAGTGCTGTGTTAAACCAGAGAGCACTTTTAGCAGCTGAGACACCGTTAAATTGCTACTGCATAGGTCATCATGACGTCATATCAATGTTCATCTATAAATCACTTCCCTGTCTTTATACCTAGCAAATTTGTGATTAATCGGTCTAATAGTTCATTAGTTATAATTAGACTGTAAAAAAAAAAAAAACTTGGCATACATCTCAGATGATGGTGGATAACTATAAGCAAAGTTTAAAGTTGATCTTATGAAAAAAGTTGTGGAATGAAAACGTGTCCAAATCCTATGGGGAAGATGTATTCAAAATTGGGAACAGCTAAAGAACTAGAGCTGATTCGGCTGACTTGCTTCGGATCATTTTTTAGCATTTTTTTTTAGCAAGTTTAAAGGTCTTTTCATTGTAACTTCCTTTCTGATGACGTAATCAATTTTTTTGCGCACAGGTCTTGTCTGCATTAAGGTCGATTACCGCAAATTTCGCCACAGACATCAACTGAACATGCGTTTTGGAATTTTGTTAACCTGCCGGTAGAGGGCGCTCGAACACTTCTTGCTAGTCTGGCTCCCTAGACCTGACAATTATTCCCGACGCTCACGTCTTAATTTTAGGTCAACAGCCTCTGTGGCTAAAAATAAACATGACGACATTGACAACCCTTTTTCAAAGCTCGGCTTCGTTTCCGATTTTGCTTTATCACTTATAGCTTTCAATGTTCTGATCAAATTTGTAAATAAATCACTTGCTTCGTAATATCATACAGTTAATGTATTTTGATATTTCTGTAAGATAACATTGACTAATGTTGATCTGGAATCTTCAAAATAAGGCACCCAAATAGCACTGTTAGCAGGCGGAGCCGAATGAAGACCGAGTTTTGGAAAATCTCGGTAGCGGTCGTCAAACTGGAATTGTACATGAACATGACGTAGCAAAAAGTTCGTCCAGACGATCCAAGTATACTTGATGCACAAATTCGCCGTTGAATTTCAAGTTTCTTAATGAAAGCAACAATATTAATTATCAACTCATTTAAAAAAGTTTTTTATAAGCAATTAGCAGTTAATTAAACCTATATACTCGGAAATACTCGGGCGCTATCCGATGGTCGACGAAACGAATTCGGCAAACTTCGGACATTTTCGGAAAAAGGAGGAATTCCTCCCGTTTTAGTTTCGTGACGTAAAATGTAATACAATGTATTACCGAGGCTACCCGAACTAAGATTTTTTTGGAAAGGTCAACCCAGCCATACACTCACACCGTTAAAAGCAAGTTCATATCTTTTTCCACTTTCAAATGATTAGGCACTTCCGCTTTAGACCGGAAGGAAGGGTTACGTGATTTGAAGCGCACAAGAGAAAATGAAGATCATATACTATCATATCGATTCCCATAAATTTCAAGTTCCGGTCTCTCACGGTTGATTTCAGACTGAATTTCAAAGATTACATTTATTAATTTTTCAAGTGACGTCACGAGACCCATGATGACGTCATGATAACTATTGAAGTTCATATATGTTTTCATGTTGACAAACAGTTCTGGAAAAGAATTCGCTGAAATTGCTGAGGAGAATGATAATAATAATTAGAGATTCGCGTTTGTTGTTACAAACGTAGAGTGGTCGGGTAGACAACTATTTTATGAAACACTGTTAAGTTAAGTTATGAATATTTTAATGTAAGAACAAAGGATCACGAAATTAAATCCTTTCCAGGACAATCAATTATTTTGTTTACAAAAATGTATCTCTAACAGTGTGGTAAATTTCAGTAAACAATCTACGTACGCATACAAGTTATTTCTAACTCGATAACCTCATTCTTCAAAACAGGAGGTGGACACTGTTTTAGTTCGGAGTGGATGTTCATTGTGAAGTTCAACATCGTATGAAAATATGGAAAATAAAAGTGTTTGTATTTATCACGCCGAACTTCCTGTTTGATGACGTCACAGTTTTTGGACGCAAAGGTGAACATTGTAATGGTATCGTTATTTTGGCTAAGATATACGACATGGATCAAATGATAAAATTAAATTTAAAATATGATCGTTGACAAATTCTCAAAGAAGTAACTTCCGGTCAGATCACGTCATGAATTTGAAACCTTGCCAAGTTATCTGTGGTTAATCAGAGAATATCAAGGGGCGATTTGGTAAAATTTGAACGGTTGGTTTTCAAATTAAAGAAAGCAAACAATATTGTATGTGCCGCTAGGGGCGACCTTTTGAATGATGACGTCTGGTTTCTTTTGGTGGTTGGCATTTCTCACTAAACATTTTTATAATTTATATGTGTGTAGTAAAATGCTTCCGCTTTTGAGTTATATTCAGTTTTTATTGCACTTCCGGTAACACCGGAAGTGAAGGTCAAGCGGTTTTGTGTCTGGGGACAAGAAATGTTTTCTCACGGCATAGTCTACAACCTCATGAAAAAAACGAACACGATACTCTATTTAGTTCAAAAGATATAGTGCAAACTATTTTGTCAAAATTTGCCCTGAAATCGCTTGTAATTTGATATCTGATGACGTCATGATGACATAACAAAATTTATAACATCTTTGTAACACGGTACAAGTTCACACTAGGTTAAATGATCAGACCGTGAACCGTTCGGAAGAAATTTTGCTTTGTTTTGAATTCAGGCTAATGTCTTCATTTTGAATTCGCCTAACTTTGACCTTCCGGTAGACCCGGAAATAAAGGTCAAGCGAGTTCATGTACACGACAAAATTGTTTACCAATTAATGGTCTCTCTGATTACAAGATTGGAACATGATTGATTATGTTGTTCAAGAGTTATAGGTGAAAGAAGTCATTTTTTTCAACACAAATCGCTTGTAATTTGACACCTGATGACCTCATCATGACGTCAGAGTAATATGCACCACTAGGGATGAGGGTCAATTTATGTTGAAAGTTACAAGTTCATACCATATACCGTTTAGGAGAAAACCCGCGGAGAATATGGTCCGGAAAAAATGAAAGAAAGAAGATTTATGAGAACAATTCCAGACAGTTGTCGGGTTGTGCCCGACCACTCAAAGAAAGATTAATCGTAACAAATCCAAAGAGTTGTCGGGTTGTGCCCGACCACTCAATAATAATAGTTAATTCGTAGAATAACAATAGGTGTTGGGCTCATAGCCTATATAGCGCATGTATCTACCAACAATTAGGTACTCAAAGCGCTAGAAATTATGTCTATTATTAAAGACAGGTAAATGAAGTCTGTGAGAAATATGTGACCCATTATGTAGCACCTTATAAGGATTTACAAGGCACTGTGGTGCATATTGTGGCCACTGCCAGAAACATCGCGGCAAAGCCCTTCTCTTAGCGATAGGTATTATGGGTTCTTTTAATGTGCATTACACAACACACGGGACCTACAGCTTTACGTCCCATCCGAAGGACGAAGCAATCATGGTAAAGTGCCTTTCGTAAGAGCAAAAGCACCATGTTCCCACGGTCAGTATTCGAACCCATGTACCACGGCATACGAGTCGAACACCGTAACTATTGGACCAAAGCACGCCATTGGTCCATGTGCAGCACCCCTAGGTTGCTTAATTGTGGCATTTCGGTAACTTTTGCGTGAAGCGGCTATTACGTTTTGAGTAGGTGTAGCACAGCGTCCTGCTTCGCGTCGTTCCAAAGACGAAGGCTACGTGAAGTCTTATTAATATAGAACGGTTTAATATTACTATTATCTCTGCAAATAGTTTGCACGCTTTTCTTTCGAACCCAGTCTTAATTGCTGATTTTTGGCGGTTTTTAAAGTTAGAAGCCAGTGCGTGTGGCACTACACAACGTATCGCATCGATTCTTTATTATCTACGAATTCGGTGAAGGCTACGTTCTAATTAAGGGAGCGCTGTATGAAACAAAAAACAAGATTCAGCAGCTGAGACACCACTAATTTGCTACCGCATATAAATCAAAATAAGCCCCTCCCACAGCAAGAATAACAACCAATCTGAACATGTTATAACCTCGCCAGATGATTTACGCTCGCTCCTGATTGGCTAGCGGGCAATCATTAGCATTTTCAGTGATATGTTTTGTTGCTAATTGAGTCCGGGCGTTTGTGAACACGGAGTCGTTTGTGTACTCGGAAATATACTATCAAACCAATGCATTCTTGATTCATTGCAACCGGGAGAATGGACGGAGCAGTAGCTTGGATTCTGATGGTCTCAGCAATGGCAGGTGGGCTTGAAACTTCCTATTTGACTGAACCCATTTATGGTATCATATAGTGAAAGGCCAGACTGAACTAGCCGCTTGGGTAGTTATTTCTATGAGGTGCACATGAAATGACACAAACATGATAATTGTTTATATCATGTCGAGACATGAGGATTACGTTTAGATTGTTATGCTTAATAGGTACCGAACATATTTCTCAGACCCACAAAGAATTATATCGGTGCCGAAGGAGGTCGCAACTAGTATCCATTAACCATATCAGTCTTAGGAGGCGAGGGGGACATTGTTCACATTATAATATTTTCAACCCAATATGTCTCAACCAAGTATCTTTCAATCTGGCAGGAATGGTGGTTTACCACAAAATCATATTTTGGTTAAAATGTGTCCCATATTTTTATGTTATACTTCAAAATCGTTGCTCTTTTTCTTATACGAACTGTCAAAGGTACTCTCAAAGAAATTTTGCAGAAAAGATGAAGAATAAAAGCGTTTTTTTCGGGCCAATGGCGGCCATATTGGATTCCCAGCATGCAAAGTTGTTAGACAGGTGACCATACATTTCAGTTTAAGTGAATATTTGACAGACTTGATCAAAGAAAACGAAACAATATTTGAAAATCCAAAATAAAAGTAAGAAGAAACCCCAAACTTTTGACGATCCGCCGAAGCGTTCTCCAGTTTCGAAAAGTTTTCAGTTGATTAACCTTGCTTTACTTTTTTAAGCTCGCGTTTTGTTTTTATCTTTCTGCAATGAAAATGTACAGTACTGGTCTCAGGCCATCAAATCTGTTTCATCGGATTGGAGTTCAACCCACATTCTTTTATCCCACCGCGTTGGTTCTTACTGTACAACGAACCGTGTGGGTGTACTGCTATACGTCTAGGTGGGGTGGACATTCCTGCTTCGTCGTACCGCAAGGGGGCGCCCTGCTACCTAGAAAAGCTGTTCCTGAGCGAGGATTCTATTAAAATTCAAGCCTACTTCAACTGTAGTCGTGCGACAACAGGTAGGCTAATAATCTATGAGTGGTTTTGGTACAGTCAATCTTACCTTGACTGTACATGTACCGAAAACCAGTTGCAGAAATATCTGATCTGATCACGTGATGACTGATATTCATCACCGTCAAATCTCAGCGGATTAGACGAACTTTTTTGTTAAATTGAAACGCTAATAGCAAAATACATGAACAAATAAACATAACAAAACAATCTGAAGTCTATGTCTCAGAAGTAAGAGATACTAGTTTAGTTGCATGATACCATAATTATGCGGGTTTTTATTCTTCTTTATCCCTTAAATATTAAAGCCTATTCTAAACTGTAGGCCTGCGACGCATCGTCGGATTAAATCTGCACAATTGCAAAGGAGGCTTTAGATGTATATTTCAGTCTTGGAAGATTAGAATGTGTAGTGAGATGATTGTTTAAGAATGTTCTGGTTACATGAAGATACTGAACTAATTTCATCTTGTTCTGTTTTACAACCAGTAGTTGAGTGCTCGAGCCCAGAGCCCCTCGGTCTTGAAGACGGTACCATCACTGATGACCACATCACATCGTCACGCTCTCACAGCAGATGGCCTGCCAAAGAGGGACGGCTGAACTATCACGGTGGATGGAAAGCATATGGGTAGGTAGTATACGTGGGGAATACTTAACCCGATACAGTATTCGCATGACCTCTATACGCATGAACATGGCATGACATCAAATCCACTTGCAAAATGGGATTCAGAAACCTGCCAACAAAATAAGTTTGAATGATCGAGCTCAGTTTTGTCAATCTATCGAATCATGAGTCGGTTTGTTTGCAAAGTAGGGATATTTCACACTTTCTTTTTCACCTCTGCCTACACAGCAGTACCGATCCATGGATCGAGGTAGACTTCGTTGAGACTACTCCGGTGGCTGGTGCCATCACACAAGGCGGCGGCGAAAAGTATGTGACGCTGTACAAGGTGGCTTATAAGAAGCAACCTTCATCCGACTATAAACACGTAACAGATGGAAGCGGAAACATCACGGTAAATAAATTACAATCATCCCATGTTTGTTTTTGTATTTGCTGCAAATTTATGATATTCTGTGCGTTTTCTCAACAGTTGGACAGTCGTCATTCTTTGTCCATATAAACCTTTTCGGTTTTTTTATATGTTCTTTTACTATAAAAAAAAAACGCTGAACAAACTAACACGTTAGAAAATGAAATACATTTGGATTGATTTGAAACTGTTGCCTTTCTTAGTCTTACAGAAGTGTCAACATCCAAACAGTAAACTGGCATACTCGTCTTTAAAGACAAACTTGCTACTTTTGTTTCTCGAGCTTAACTCTGAAGAAAATAGATATTGATTTAAATTTACAACACTTGTTAACTTTTGAATGAGACACCAACCAGGTTGCAGACGCTTAAAATAAAAAACTTGTTGTTTTCCTAAAAATTAACACTCATAGGTCAAAATGCAGTAGGAGAAAAATAATCGAATATGTTAAAGCGCAAGGCTGTTAAAAAACAATTACAAGGAAACATTTTAAATCAACAATATTCAATTATTATTCGTTATTTGCTCTTTTAAATTAAACTCTTTTTTTTAATACCTGATGAAACTGTTCACCATCACTCAATATTTGAATACAAATTGTTTTTCTTTTGTTTTGAAATAAACTTTAGGATGCACTTCTTTTCGTTACAGGTGTTTACTGGTAACACTGACGTCGACACACCGGTCACTAACCTGTTTGAAGAGAGTGTGTTGGCGAAGGTAGTGCGCATTGAGCCAACTGCGTGGCACGTTGGCGCTGCTTTGCGATTGGAGTTGCTTGGATGTCGTCGAGATTAATTCAACTACGACAATGAATATGGTTCTCTCTCCATTTTACAGAAACCGAATAGTTCAAACGGACAAGGGGAGATTATTTGTTTTATGTAAGCATGTAGAAATGGCTTGAAGATAACTATACGGTGATTACCAGATTATTTTGAAAGAAATATATATATATAAATAAATGTGATGAATCCCATCCGGGGGATTATGAATTATTGTGTGCAAGGCTAGGACATTGGGCTGATGGCTTCAGGATTGACTTTGCTATTCAAATATTTCTGATTCAATGTTATTAAAAACACTGCATGGTTGTGATTGAGAGTTTCTTTGAAAGAATACCAAACAGTGTTGCTATACAAAATTTAATAATTTCCACCGTGAACAGGCGTAAAATACAACATGACACGCACATTTGGTGAAAGTCTTTAAAAGTCAATTTAGCGATTAATCTTAGCCGTTTTGGCCTACTAGTTGTTGTCCTTAACACTTGTTTACTTTATTGGTGAATGTTACAAAGTTTGAATGCAATACGAATTATTAAGATTACTGTGACCTTTGTTGATGGTCAACTGCCCTTTGTTTTAGGTGGTTTTTTTAGGTCTGCATTGTGTTGCATAAAGGCATCTTTGTGAATTTTAGCTCAAAGGGGCACCCACAGTGTAATTTGGCTATGTTTGAATGATGAATGTGTGGAATATGGAATATTTTGACCGCACTGTGTGGCGCGCTACAGCAAAGTGGCACAGCGGAGAGGATTACAGATGTGGCAACATTGGTCAGTACTCCTAAACGATTCTACGGAGTAAGTAAAAAAACAAAACTTGCTCACATGGAAGAAAGGACTGATATAAAATAGCCTGTGAAATTATTTCGCCTAAAATTGTATTATTTAGAGCATACTAATTAACAAAAGTTGGTTTGACGGGCACACTGTAAAGATTACACATCCACTTAGACATCGCTGGGAGAATTGATGTTGCGGACAGCGAGCGAGCAGGAGGTAAATTACTTGTGCTCTGCGTTTTTGGTAATGCTTGTGCACGATTTGTACATAGTCGTATGAGCTGTGCTGGGGTTACACTGGCATGTATAGCTGATGTGTAGCAAGTACAAGGCTGTATTAACTAGCTGTACGTTGCTGACTGGCTTGCATGGTCGATGCGTAGCGGGTACAAGGCTGTACTACTGTACATTGCTTATTCTGCTGTACATTGTTTATGCTGTTGTACATTGCCTGTGCAGTTGTACATTGCTGATGCTTGGGCGCATTGTAGACAATGTGATGCATTGCTGACTCTGCGATGCATTGCTGACATTGTTGTGCATTTCGGATGCTGTTGCACATTGCTGCTGCGTGCAGTAGACTTGGCTCATCTCTCCAATAGTTAAAAGACCCAGGTAACAGAACAACCACGCCTATTAATTCCAATTACTGTTGAATAAATTATGATCATTGTTGATTGAGGTCACCGACAATTCTGTGGTAGGTGTCTCTGTTACAGGTTCATTGTGCAATTAACAGGGTTTTTAACAATCATTCACAATCGGGCGGTAGGTTTCCACCAAAACGGACCTGCACCCTTAGCCTTGAAGGTCGCTCTGAGTGATCTCTCGGCTAGTGAAGAGCCTTGGTTTGAGAAGATTGTCTTCACCCCAATATATGAGTCAGATTTTTCCTAACAGACTTGGGTTGGCCAGGGGAGTTCCCGCCACAAATGATGCCAGAAGTGGGATCGATGATTGTGATTGATTAAGTTGATTTCTGTGTTGATTTCAGTGGTAATTGTTTTGAAGTATAAACGAAGTCTCGAAGGGTTCAGTGGGCACCTCACATTATGCACACTACCTCAGATTTTTGGCAATTGTCGTTCTAAGTACCTTTAGGCTTGACAATATTAAGTTATCTGGCGTTATTTCTGGTTGCATTCTAGGTGCATCGGAGGTTGTGATATTTTGGTGATATAAAGCGTTGTAAGAACATTTTGTAATTTATTGCGTTTTTATGTGTATAGTTTTATGGGTAGTAAATAAAGGTGACTGTGTGTTAATCAGTACAATTATTTAGTTTCATCTCACTTGTGTAATATGTCATTCAAGTGGCATACTCATCTTTCAAAAACACAAGCACTGTTGTAACTATTATAAACTATTGATTTAATACTCAAATACGACACATGAATAAGTGCATTAATGTCAGGGTTAGCCACATTGTGAAAACGTCACAATACATATCCTGGCATAAAGCCGACAAAGAGATTCATGTCATTTATACGTAATTGAAGTTTGCGCTAATGTTGCATCTATAGTACATTCATGTCAGATTTGCAAAACTGTAAAACCCACAAAAATAGGGTGTTTACTTATTTTGTTTAATGGTCGTGTTATATTATTAACAGTTTGTTATGTCTTCATTAAACTGCAGTCTAAAATAAATTACATACTTGTAAATTAAACAACGTCGTGTCAGTTTTATGCTTTAATTCTCTCAAAAAAGTGACAGTTCTAAACAAGAGACGAAAGACAATCGCATTAGTTTGGAAGCTATTTTGGTTTTTAGATCAAACGATGTGAATGACGAGTATACAGCTCATAGCACTGATTTGCTAAACGTCCTGGCGCTTGGCATTGAACGTATAACGATTGTTATCGGTTGGACGGTTGGAGCTAATGCTTACCACTTTGCATTTTGCGTAGGCGATACAACGGTCAGATTTTGTTTTTCACCAAGAAGTTAGTTTATCATTTGAAGGCCTCTTTTAGGCAAGGGGCTCGTGTCCTCAATTTCAATTTGTCTTGTTCTTCTACCAATATTGTGGTGGCCTGGATGCTATTTTAATATAGGATAACGTGCCAGAAATGCCAATTCATAACTCGAACTCCGGATGCACGTTCCCAATCTCTGCGTGAAACGTGGGTGACAACAAAGGGACATAAATTGGCGCCTAATTACTCCGTGAAGATGAAATCGATACAGTAATTGAAAGTAGCTGGAGAGAAAATTAATATAAGAATATTTAGAGGGTTGTCTATAGAGATAGACTATTGGCTAGGGATGGCGTGTGACGTCACCTGTTCAGCGTCTTGCCTATCTGCTGAGGCGAGTCGGTATAGCTTGTGTATGTTAACAATCAACCTAGCGTATTCTCGTTCGTTACATCTAAAAGAATGGACGGAGCAGTAGCTTGGATTCTGATGGTATCGGCAACGATAGGTAAGTTAAGATTTGTGTATGAACATCTTACTTAATCCTGCTTAGACCGTCACACTTTGAACTTAATTTACTGAGACAACTACACTCTAAACTATTGCTTTTTGTCATCCTTTTTGTGTCGCCACTTTACGGAAGCTCGATCGTGTTAGGTTAAAAACGTTGAAGGAAAACGGAAAAAAGGTAATGGTAGTAAAAGAGAGTGAACTAAATACTCCAGGAGTAAAGCTTCCGAATAAGGTGGTCCTTACCTGTTCTCCGTAGACCAGTGGGCCAACGGAAGTAATGTTTGTTTTGATCCTCGATTTAAAGGAAAGGTTTAAAGAGCGGATACTGAATATTATAAAAGGGAATAAGTATGTGCTAGGCCGATTTAAAACATTTACGTTTAAACGTGGCTAGAGGCCTGTACATGGATCATGGCGCGAGCCAATGGCGAGGGACATTTTTCCGCGACCAGCCTTCCAGCCGGTTTTAAACGTACTTGTTTAAGAACCGGCCCAGCACATATTCTCTATTTATGAATACCTTTTCGATTAAATGGTCAAAATAAGTCAACAATTAACACATTTCAACGAGTTTGTACAACATAAGTACTTAAAGGGACACTAGGTCCTGGAACAGCCCAATTGGGCTACAAAACGCGCTTTGAACGAGATTATGTAAATCGGAAAGAACATTTAAAACTAGGATATAAACATCCACACAACTATCCTTTCAAAACTGGGCGTTTTTGTGTTATTCCTGTATTATGCGTGCAAGAACGAATTTCGGGGTCCACTTTGCGACCCCATAAACAGCCAAATTGGGCTACAAAACGCGCTTTGAACGAGATTATGTAAATCGGAAAGAACATTTAAAACTAGGATATAAACATCCACACAACTATCCTTTCAAAACTGGGCGTTTTTGTGTTATTCCTGTATTATGCGTGCAAGAACGAATTTCGGGGTCCACTTTGCGACCCCATAAATTCGAGCCGTTTGGATGCTAGTTGTGATTTCATTCGTACGCGTAAAGTGTTCGCCTTTTGCGGACGTTGGAGAAACATTATTTTTTGCATTGGTGATTGGTCTCCGCTGTTCCCAGGACACACAACGTGTATATTATATATATATATATATAATTTTTGCACACTTTTTTTATTTATATATAATTTATTTGCAACCTTATTATATATATATAATTTTTTTATTTATATATAATTTATTTGCAAACTTATTATTTATATATAATTTTTGCACACTTTTTTTATTTATATATAATTTATTTGCAAACTTATTATTTATATATAATTTTTGCACACTTTTTTTATTTATATATAATTTATTTGTAACCTTTTTATTTATATATAATTTTTGCCCACTTTATTTATTTATATACAATTTATTTGGTACCTCATTATTTATATATAATTTTTTGCCCACTTTATTTATTTATATATAATTTAGTTGGTACCTCATTATTTATATATAATTTATGGCACGCTTTAATTATTTATCCCCGCATGATCAAAAAGTTGGACACAAAACAGAGGCAGTAAACTCACCATTCTATGTTCATCGTGGCTTGAGCAGCCTTTTATTCTCACAATTAAATTCGGCAAAGTCTAAAGTTTCCGGTCGATGCTAACTCGCGAAACTGCAATTATCATAAGGTAAACATATATGAACTTAAACATATTTCTATGTGCAATGACTTGTTTCCGGTCGAAGCTAACTCGCGAAACTTTTCAGCACAATATTTGCAATATTTTGTTTCCGTCCAAAGCTTGAAACATCACGGCATATAATTGCAATATGTAGTT